TCTATGATTCTATGATTATGATTCTATGAAGATTATATGTTCTGTGAACACACAGGGGGAAAAAGAAACCTATAAAAATACTTATGTAAGCTTGAGATGATTACTGCTAACAACTTCAGGAATGAAAATATAGAGAAAATATATTAGAGGATGGTTTCCCACCACCAAATGAGTCAGGTTATGAAAAAGCCTTTCAAAATGCATAACAGAAACAAATCAGCTTTATGAAGGAGACTTGGGCCAATTCATAAGATTACCTACTTCAGTGTAGTAGAATTGCATTACTCTGAATTCAGGGTTTTTTTATTTTTCACACTCTATGCAAAAGCCTGAACATTCTGGCTTGCTTTGACTAAAAGGAACCTTGGAACAGCCATAACGACTAAGCAGTCATCTAGATCTGGTATCCAACTATTAATATTCTTCAGAATAAATAAATAAATAGGATCAAAATCCTACCTGCAGGAAACTTTGTAGTCACATGTTATTTTTCATAACCACAGATAGCTAGTGGCTTACACCTTGAAAGAACTATGTTCATATTCTAGTCATCTCGACTACCTACACTGCAGATCCTTTATATTAAAAACGGAATTACTATCAATACATGACAGTCATTTACAATCAACACAGCCCAAGTCCAAGGAAAGTACTGAGAAATTAAAACCTTACTGAATTTTCAATTACATTAATATATAAAATGTGGGTTTGCATACACCCCCCTTAAGAGAAAAAGGACTAGTTAATGAAATGAATATTCGAAGTTTATCTACTTCCTCAAAACATGAGACATTAACTTCCTACATTAAGGAATACAAACATACACACTTTACCCCCAAACATCTAGGGAACTTCCTCTTTTCACTGTCAGGTCCTGCCCTGCACTACTTTTTATCTGAATTATCAGCGCATGCTTCAGAGGAAGCAGGAAAAAACACAAGACAGTGAAACCAGGGAATGAGGGGGAAAAACAATCACATCTCTCAGAGGAAAATGTAGCAGCCTTTTGATTTTTTGCAAAACCAACAAATGAAAATAGAGGTAAACAGAAAAATATTTCCATTTCTGTTTTCCTGCAGAATGTGGAGTCTATTTTTGTATGAAAGTGTATGACAGTTCCTGAAATTTAACGATACTAAAAACAGAAATAGGGAAGTGTATACATACGTCCAAAAGAATGCAGTATCTTATAAAATGTTTTGCCTTCTCAGTTAAGTTAAAATTGAAAGACATTTAATGTGATTTAAGGCAAAGCACTGGGAAAACTGCAATCTTGGTTAAAAGTATACTGTAATTCAAACATTGCTTAAAAATTAGTTACACTGGTAATTTTAAGAGCAGAAGCCTGTCAAAAGCTGTTTAAAACCTGTACAACACTTAGTATTATACACAACCTGGTGGTATCAATGAGATACCACTTCACTGAAATTTTCCACAACTTTTTCCAGCATCATCGTTTATTTTAAGCAAAAAGCTTCCCTGTTCCAGTAATTTTTTAGTGACAATGTATATGTAATAAAAAGCATTACTATTGTACAAACAAATAAGCAACATCCCATAAAAATATTTTAGCATTTGCTTTTTCAAATTTCCTATTAAAACTGACAGCTAGTACCAACTAAATAGCTCAGTCTCAACTGCCTTACCTGAGGTATGTACCATATATGAAGAACAGTGACATCATGAATCCATTCAAAAGAAAAATCACAGCAACGTAAAAGGAAGCAGGGTCTCCCAACCCTAACAAACAAACAGTTAACAAGTTGTCAAATACAGAAGAAAGATCATATTGCTTATAAACCATCATACAATCTCTATAATACAGCACAGGGTGTACTACCTTAATACATCTACATAAAAAGACAAAAAATGTCACCAAGATTATTGCAGACGTTCAATTGGAAAACTACACTTCTGAAAAAAAAAGAGAAGGGGCAGAAACAGCATTAGGGCATCAGCAACATAACAAGCCAAGAGGGAAGCACTAACTGCAAAGAAAAAACCCTGCAATGTATAGAAGGCATAAGCATCACTGAGAACATTCTCTACAGACTCCAATTTGACTTCATAGAGCTTTTGAGAACAGGTTTGTATTCTCTATACTCTCAATTCCCATCTCTTGCAGGAGTAAATCCATCTTTAAACATATCACACACAATGCTCTTTGCTTTCTTTGTTTCATTAGAAGCCAAGAGATTTTCCAATAATGTGTTTCAATTTATTCATTCACAAACACTTCTGTGTTCACACTTCCACTGTCATTTTCTTTCCCATTATTTCTTTAAACCCTCCTGGCTCTAATAATTTCAGCAGTACAGCATAAAAAGCCTTATTCATTATAGAGAAGGTAGCAAAACTTCATCATTTAATATGCAGAAATTATTCACCATTGCTGAAAATACCACCAGACAGTTCTCTACAGTAAGATGATGATATGCTCATCAAACATGGTAGTCTCAATAGCTGGGGTTTTTGTTGGTTTGGTTTGGTTTTGTTTTTACAAAAAACAGGAATGAAGAGTTATACATTTGTCCATGTTTACTGCTTTTGACAAAATTAGAGAAAGTGAATCATTCAGACTCTGAAGAAAGTTCTTATAGCCTTTGTGCAAAGGAAAAATACTAACTTGTCACCACACAAAGACATTTTAAATGATAAAATTAAACAACTTCACAAGCTACCGCCCATCATTCAGCTTTAACCAACTGTAGAACACCTCAAAAACGTTGCTTGCCAAGGTACTTTTATTGTATAATATTTACTTAAAAAGCCAATACTTTAAATGTGGAAAAAATAGCAAAAAAGTGGCTCTGTCCAATCTTTGGTATCAAAATCAAGGTGTAAGACTGAAATTCTCATGCTGAGTAGTAGGTCACAGAGGAAGAGGACTCTTCCCAGAGGAATCATTACACAAGATTTCCCCAAAAGGGAGCCTTGTGGTTACCTTTTTCCCCTTCCTCCTCACTCCACAAGTTGTACTTAGGGGAGGAAATACAATGGGTGAGTTTTTGAAATGTAAGAACTTGGATGTATTGGCGATTCTACAGAACCTACAAAAATTTAATACATGTACAGTGGCTTCCAACTACATTTAGGACATTTTATTCTTTCTAGCAGTCCAACATTATGAAGGCTCAGACTACAACTGTGAACTTTTGAATTGCCATACAGAAATTCAACCTAGGTAGGTGGAGCTATCTAAAAAGTAAAGCCCACATTCTCCCATGTTGTTCTTAAAAGTATCTTTTTTTCATGCTTCTCATTTATGCTGTGAATCTGCCAAAAACACAGGCTTAGCCAAATGAAAGCAAGTCACTGATAAAGACACAGGAATATTTATTACTTACGTAAAGCCACAACTATATGCTTCCATGAAGAAACTAGAATAAAACACAACTCACCCTCACAGCTTTCAACAGGACTAAGTCCTTTTCCTCTGTTTACAGTCCAACATGTCTTTGTTGGTACACCAAAGAAATCCATAATGGCAGTATATATGCGGTACCAGCTGGCAAGGACCACCTAGATGGAAAACAGGATTTGAAACTTTCGAAAAGGAACTTTGAGATTAACTCAATGCCCAAGGTAACCTCTCATGACAACTGGTGCTCATCCAGGATTTCTTTAAACACAGAATTTATCTCAAGTACTTAGCATTTTTGACCATAGTTTCCTAAAGGCATCCAACATAAACCAAGTGCTCGTTAATAGACTAAAATTATGCCTGCTTTAGAACAGAAATAATTTCACGCACCAAACTGCAACATCTGAAAAAATTAAATATTTTGGTATTGTGTGGAAGATTCCCCATTTAACTATTTTTGTTTATGAGATATTAAAATCCCAGATTTTGTTGTCAGAGGACAGTTAGCTGAATTAAATCCACTAAAACCAATCAATGTTTTTCCACCTGGCAAGAATATTAATGGACCAAATCTTCAAGGTTTTTACTCAGATAAACTTTGATAGGTTAAATTTGAGCATGGATTAGAAAAGGTTTCCAGATGCAATGCAAGAAAGCATTTCCATTTTCCACACAAAGGTCATTACATTCTTAAAACAACAAACAAATTAAATTTCAACACCTGACACAGAAAACATCAGTATTTTACACACAGAAAAATGATGACTCATCTCACAGCAAAATCGCTAGTTAACATTAACAAGCTATTCTGTCAGGATATAACCATCTTTACAGAGTTATAAATGAGTAATATGGTCATTCCAGTCGAGCTGCTTTGGAAGTTATAACCCAGGGGTTCCCAGACTGAAAATGTTTCACCACTGCAGTATTAGCTGTCTTAGCCCTGTGTCACCTGAAACATGTACAAGAAGGATGATTCCCTCTTTTCTTTACACAATTTTTCTTTATACAATTAATAAAACTCTTTATGTTACTTCTACCTTCAAGAAGCGCAAGAAGGAAACACAGGGAATTACACCTTGATCTCCAAGAACATCATGGAGTAAATCCTCCTGGAAACCACTCCCAAAGACACTAAGGACAAAAAGTGACTGGAAGCAGTCAGCATGGATTTACAAAGAGTAAAGATGACCGAGACAGACTCTTCAGTTGACAAGAGATGATGAGCTCAAATTGAAATACAGGAAATTCCACTTACACATAGGAAAAAACTTTTACTTTGAGGGTGGTCAAACACAGGAACAGGTTGCCCTTAAGTGCAGATATTCAAAATGAACCTGAGCAACCTGTTCTACTTCACCCTGCTTCAAGAAGAGTGTTGAGACTAGATGATCTTAAGACATCCCTTCCAAACTCAACTGTTCTGCCATTTTATAATTCATTAATTTTTAATACCAGGGCTTCAATCATCATGGCTCGCTTAATCTGTGGCCTTTACTCTCTCACAATGTAAATCTGATCTAGTCAAAATACAGCTACACCTTTCTAGACCAAGACTCCCTACTTCAATATTCTGTCCTGCAAAGTACACTACCCTGAATTCCTAGAGGCTTTCTGAACTTCTGTGCATGTGTACAGACATGAATCCGACACTTGCCCCATCCCCAGATAGGCAACAAATTTCTATTTGGGGAACCAAATACAAATATTTCCTCTTTTCACCTGAAGGTGGTTTGTACACTGCCAACAGAATGCATACGGCAGCTCAGAGGCATCTGTCTAGTATATTTACATCACCAGCCCTGAAGCTGACATTCCCCAAAGCATATAAAATATTCTTCCTGAAGCAATGTAGCACAAAAAAAAAAAAAAATTATTGGTTTATCAACTTAACCTTTTTATGTTACAAGTGCTTGTGGCTGCTGCAGATGCTACCACACACGAATGTTCCCTAAAAAGGTACCAGGTTAGGTACTTCATGCAAAACACAGAAGCTTTTTTTGCCATAAGTGACCTTACATGAAACAGTTAACACAGGCATAAAAGTGGAAGCTAATCAGTAGTACAAAATTGCTAGGTCAATTAGACCACAATGGCATTTTTGGAATTTCTACTGTCTCATATCAGCTGAGGCAGTAAATGCAAATCTTGGAAAACAAAAGACTAGCTCTCAGACCCAGGAGATCTCTGTGGGCTGGACCAGTCCTTTGCTGTAAAAGAGTATGTAGAAAAGTCAATCCCTTTTACTAGTTGCCTTTGAGTAAGAATTGTAAGGCCAACTACGCAACATTCATCATTCCAACTCAAATTTTCATCATCACTACCACACACAGAATTATCAACTGTTCTGTAATGATGAACAGCCAGAGAGTAAACTTAACATCATCTGTCTACATCTCTCTATCATTTTGCATCAGGGATCACAGATGAAAACACTACAACTACTGGAACAACCTAACTATGCAGCAAATGTCTGGAAAATCCAGACTTTATTGGGACTTTAACATTGTGCAACTACAAAGACTGATGTTTTCCTTTTGACAGATTTTTTTTTTTTACTGCTTATATTTATAATTTACACCGATGATGTAATGATTGCCATGGATTCTAACAATTTTTTCCTTCTTTTCAAGTTTTCATGGCTAGTACCAGGTGTACGTCCAGATGAATTGTTCTACTTATCTGAAGGGGCTTAACATCCTGTTTAGTAGCTGGATTTTAAGGCTATTTTTGATGCAATTAATTTTGAAATCCATTAAACAAGCAAAAATTTTTATTATAATTCAGCCTTAATGCTGTTGGGCTGAGAGAGCTGGAAAGATCCTAAAATATCAAACAGGAAATGAAACACTTTTGGAAAACACGACTGGATACTGAGTATCAGAAGGGAAAAATTTCACTGCCAACAAATAAATCCACAAGCATCTTTCCATCACCCAGCCCCCATAATCCCATAATCACAGGTAAAATTAGATAAATTTGGAGAACATACTTCAAACGTCAAGTTGTACCTATTGACAGTTTTATAGATGTAGTTATGTGGAAACAAGAGTACTCAAGAAATACACTTTAAAAAAAACAACAACTATTTACAGGAAGGCTAGACATCAAGCAGTAAATGACTGAAAGGAGCAGAGGAGACCAGTTGTCTGCTTTGCATACCCACACAGGCACAGAAAAGATGAATTGATTCATACCTTATCACCAACTTCTACGAGTCAACATTCTACAAGAAAACTCTGAATGAACAGACAAGCCTACACATTTTGCACAGTAATCTACCTAAGCCACTATACCTGATTGCTCTTGTTTTTATTTCATCTTCCAATTCACTTAGCCATCTTTCCTGGTGATACTGATGAATCTCTAAGAGCAAGTTCATTTGACCAGTTACCTTTGAGTTTTGCAAGTCAGACTACAGCTGAAGTCAATAAAACTTTCTCAGCTAAAGAAAATAACTTTACAGTATTCAAATAAGGCACATGTTCCTAATGTTGCGTTTCTAGAACTGAACTGCAATCCTTTTGTAGTTAAAACAAAACCACCAAAAACCAGGCCAAACAAACATAAAACCAGTGAGAGGGTAACAAAAAGCACTCATGTACAGCATTTAGTTCTTCCAGAGCAAGGAATTGAGAAGCAAATGAAACCACTATATAGAAGTTGTAAAAACACATGCATGCCAAGAACCCTCACACATATAGTTCCTGAAAGCAGCTCTGCTCTGACAGAGCAGGGGAATGAGTATAAATGCTCGTACCCAACAGTTACAGCCATTATTAGTCCTTGATTCTCTGAAAAAAAACAAAACAAAAACAAAAACCAGCTGTTTCTGACACATGAAGTTACAGAAATGTACACTACCCAAAGAAGTTTTCCCTTTGCAAAATGTTTGAGACACACTGGCAAAACCATAACAGAGAGAAAAACAAACATTACTTAAAGACATGTTCTTTTCAGTGACAAAAAAAAGCAGACTAAGAACAAATATAATCTAACTAGGTAACAAGCCTAACATCAAGTATGTACAAATCAACAGCAGCCAGTCATCAACAGAGGGATTTCTTCTGCAACATGTAAGTAAATGACTACCATTCATGGATTGTATGGCCACAGTGAACTGTGATGATTCGTCAGTTCACAGCCCTACACAAACTGCAAGTCAAAACCACCTCGCAGTAGCTGTACCACTGCAGACATTACTGTCACATACTACTGATACTTCATGTGTTTCCTGAAGTACACAATATCAACAACTTACTTGCTGGGAGTGGAAAGAACAAAAGATGGCAAAAGTACAGAATCGGACTGAAACTTCAGGGAACGAAAACAGGAAGATCTAGAAAGCATTCACATCTGATTGGACATACTTGACATCTGAGCATTATCACAATTTACAAAGTACCTTTCTCATTTTTAATCTGGAACTTAAATATAGTATTTAAGCAATTAGTCACTGTATCTTTACAACCATGTTTTCCAGAGTAACATTTCTCACAAATTTGTAGTTAAATCTAAAGAAACCAAAGATGTAGCAGAAGGGATTATTTTTAAAACATAGCTCACCTCTGGGTAAAGATTGAACCTTTGTAAGGTGTTAATCACTAAAGGATATTCCGTTAGTCTGTCATTCATAACTGCCCATACTCCATTCCAAAACGATGGTGCCTCAATAATGATCTTGAAGTAGGAATAATAAAGACCCTACAGGAGAGCAGAATCATTATTTATGATTAAAGAGGTCACTTCTGCTTCATCAACTGCCATATACGAGCTTCATTTTCAAATCAAATTTTGTAGTATAACAAACAGGACAAAATGATTCAGAATGACCATCCAGTTTTTCAAATCTCTTCTCTTACCGCCACTGAAACAAGCCGTGTGGGTTTCCTTCCACCTTGTTTCACAGCACATCTGAAAATCTCTCCTTTGGGCTGGTAACTATGCAGCAGCATAGTGTTTCACAATTCTCAAAATAAAAGCAACCAAAAGGTGTATATGTATGCAAACAATTATTAATTTAAAAAATAATTAAAAAAAAAAAGCTGCGTAACAAGATGATAATTGAAAGTATGCTACAACGTACTTCTAGGTTTGCATTTTTGGTCCCATAGAATCATATTTTCAAATTATATTTTAAGTGAACTGTGAAAAGATATATTAATAGGGATCAGCTGTAAGACACACAAATGCTCTGCATGTAAAAGTGTAATGCGTGTTAGTTGCAAGAGATCATTACATTTACTTCTCCAGAAGGTATTAAGAAATTTTGGAAAGCCCATGATCAAAGATTACAAACAGAAGTCTTCCAACCACTGAATTTTTATTGAAACATAATCTAACCATTTCCGTGCGAAAAGCCATTTCTCTTTCTAGCGTTGATAGATGAGAAAAATGACGGTCATTTTCAAAAAGAGTTGTTATGTGATACCTGTTAAAAAATAATAATTAAAACAGAATAAAGAGTTTTAGAACCAGTACTAAGTCGTACACGCCAAGGAACAGCTAGCAAAACATTCGATGAAGACACAAAATTTATTTACAAACTGCTATTTTAACTTATATTATAACAACATTCTCCTCTATTCAGATTATTTTAAATGGAAAAATATGGATCCATAGAGTACTTAGTAATTCTATTATGGAATTAATTATAATACTCGACTACATTTTAACTTAAGTGCAGACACTTAAGGATCGAAAGTTTAATGCTACTAAAACTATCAGGTCTACATACTCAGAAAGGAAATTAAAATACCTGACAAATGAAAATAATCACAAACTAAAAACTGGTGAAAATAATGGTGGCACATACAAGTAGTGTATGTTTTTTCCACAAAAGTCTTCCCTGAGTTGTATTTTAATCCTGTTATCTACCATTTTATATAGATGTGCTTACCATCAGAAATGTATCTAAATAAAGGTGCAACTATAGGGGGGAAAAAAAGCCAGGAAAAATGCAAATCATTTTGGAGGCAAAACTTGCCATTTTCAAGAGGAGCTTCATCTCCAGAAAGGATGGAAAAAGAAACAGAGCAGCGCACATGACTCTACACTTGAACAGGAATTTGCAAAAAACAAACTACTAAAAATCAATAGTTCTTTTTGAGCTAGGAAACAAAAACAGAGTGGTAGAATCTGTTACTTTTTCTCTCTGCAAAACCAGCTGGTGAAAATAACTTTAGAAGCTATTCTATTTCAAGTCTATACAACAAAAAAGAAGGGTGAGGATTAGGATGGAACCTGAAGCACAAGGATTATGTTGACAAAAAGTAGTTGAAAGGCCATTCTTCTGTACACAAAGAAAATATTGGCCAGACTTCTCTGAACGTAAAACAGCAATTAAAGCAGAATCTCAATAAGCAGAACACAGGAGAAAGTTGAAAGGATTTACCTGGACTTTCAAAACACACTGAGGGTAAAAAGGTCTGTTAGTGGTAATGCACCTGAATTTGTATGGCTAAGCAACAATTTTCCACCTGGAAAACAGGCTTCACTCTTCGCTGAAGAGCCTTAAGAAACCTTTCATGTCAGCTTCACAAGAACAGAACTATTAATCTTAAGAGACAACAATTTCATTTTGAGAGGAAAGATCTAAACATAAATTATCCCAATAGCTTGTCCAAATGTAAGTCCAAATGATATTTTTATTATTTTAAAATGTCATATTACTCTCAAGCAATAAATTTATCCTTACCAATGTAGGACTCCTGCAAAAGCAGCTGTAAAGGAAACAAAAGGTGTCAAAGTTATTCAAATATGCAAAACTTTGAAAGTGAAATCATGTTCTTTAAAATAATTACAGTACTACTTCAGAGATGCACCGAAGGTACTCAGCCTTCAGAGGAACAGAAGAACAGGAACATCTGAATTAACTTTTGTGGCCAACTCTTTGAAAATCTGAAATTACACTGATCACATTCAGCAATACGCAATGTTCCCATCTATACCCTGCATCACTCAAGTTGATCCGTCACAATCTAATGCCATTTGAGCTATCAATAACTGAATTATAAGCATTTTTTTTAATAAGCATAAACATTTTTAAGTTACCTACTGTGACTGTTCACTCAACTCCTGCTCAGATTTTCGCTAACACACAGCTCACGCTAAGGCTTGATGTATGCTGAAGCAGCACTGTTAGATCAAAGTAAGGGCAACACATAGGAAGGACCCAGTGGCCAGAAAGGGCTAAAGGTCATTATGAAGTCATTATCAAGTGCAGCTTGCTGTCTCCTGCAGCCATAACCCCTATATATTGATTGTCTGGCAGTTTCTTCACAATCTGCTAACTCATGGAAATGGTATAGGCCAAACTTCCAAGCTGGAAGGTTGCTATGGTTTTGACCCTGGCTAGCAGTAAAACACCACAACAACCACTCACTCACTCTCCCCCCTCCCAGGGATGGCGTAGACAATTAAAGGGGTAAAGGGAAAAGAGACTCGTGGGTTGAGATAAGAAAAAATTAATAACTAAACTACAATAATATTGAAAATAAAAATGATAACAATAATAGCAATACATACAAATACACAAATGAGTGATACACAGTGATAGTGCTCGCCACCTGATGACCAAGGCTCAGCCCGTTCCTGGCTAATGATCCCACAGCAGGAAGAGTCTCAAAACCACAATCCCAGAAAAGAGATAAAAGCTCAAATGTGCAAGAGACCGAAAGAACCTTGAGAGATGGATGACCCAGAAAGACAGACGACCCTCAGTGAGCCAACTTCTGGGCAGACCCTCATTTATATACTAGGCATGATGGGAATGATATAGAATATACCATTGGCCAATTTGGGATCCTAGGCTAGGAATTGGGGCTGTGCTCCCTCCCAGCTTCTCCTGCACCTGCAGACACTGGCACAGCAGAGTTGAAAAGTCCTTGACTGTCCTGGCAGCAGCTATTAAGTATCGGTATGTGATCAGCCTTCTTCTCAGCACAAATCCAAAACATATCCTCTCACTAGCTATTATGAAAGAAGTTAACTCTGTCCCAGCTTAAACCAGGACAAAGGTGTAAATACATCAGCTTACCCAAAAAGTTTTTGAAGCTGACCCAGCAGCAGCTGGACTGATGAGTCTTCCCCCCGTGTGATACAGGGAGCACCTGTACTACGATGGAAGGATGAGCACTCCCACCATTGGCTAGGCAACTATTTTGCTCATAGGTGCACAAGTTAGGAGTTGCGAGTTAGAGAACTTGTGAGTTAGAAACCTCATGACTTAAGTGATAAATTAGTGAATTCCTATGTTAGACAAGCCTGTTTGAAGTGGACTGAGCCCTTGTTTGTCATGTTTGTTTGTTTTTTTTCCTAATGAGCTCATAAAAATAAAGTTTAATTTACTGAGTACATTTTCCTGTAAATTTGAGAGATCCAAATGGACCGTGACAACCAACACAAATCTAATTGAGGCTATAACTGCTGAAAAAGGTAGACTCTGCATGTAATAATGTTCCATTTTTCCATTTGGAGACTATCCGCACTGTTGTCACATAGGTACAGAACAACAGAGGTAATGGGAGGGGCAAAGGGAAAATACAAATTATTATAAAAGTGGTGGGTAAACAGTCTAGGTCTCCAACTTGTTGAGCATGACAAGATCCACAAAGAGCAGAAGCCACTCCATGTTGCTTGGGGAGCATTCACAACATATCCAGAGCTCATCACGGAAGCAAACCCCAGCATGAGGGATAAAGAGTTGACATTTAGAGGGACTCCTTCTAGACTGAAGGTGTCTTGGTTGCTCTCTAAGCAGACAAGGGCTCTCTGCCATTGAAAGGTTAGGTAGACAGGTTGCCTTGAATCCCAGAAAACGTTTATGGTTAATGAAAAGCCCTTTTCTTCACATAGGCTCTATGGAATAGAGAGAAAGAGGGGTGCTGAGCACCGTGTCCCTCTCCAGGGTGCTGATCTGCACACCCCTCCTGCAGCTGACAGCCCCCCAGGCACAGTCCTTGCCTCTGTGGAGACATGGAACGGGCCAAGTTGCTTGCACATAGGTAAAACATACATCAAATGCTTGCACAGTGATGTAGAACATAGTCAGAGAGGTAGTGAATGCACATGTGTTCAGATTGCATGTTACACGTGCATGGTGGTCTGATTCTGGAAAGCAGCAGGGACAACAGAAAGGAAAACACCTTTGCAAAACCACTAAATTAATGAGAGGAGTGGACTGAATGTGCGCTTCACACCCTAGTATATATTCCCAAACCACATGTTCCTCCAACACAGAGCCTGGAACTGCTGCTGCTGGGAACACTTGTTATCATTGCCACCACAATGCTGCTGCTGGCAGTACTTGTTATCATTGTCACCACAGGTCATAACACAACAAACTACATTTATGAACCTCCATTTTAATATTAAAGTTTTGTATACAAAGATGTGTAAGTGAAACTGGGTAAGCCAGGAATAAAAGAAAAAAAAGAATTACCTAAGGGGGAAGAAAATTCTTAACTACCTGCCCACACAATTTGACATTTACCTCAAGTTACACACTTCATATAGTAGCTGAGGTTGTACAATGCCATGCTGAAACTTCCTTAAGAGTTTTTCAGCTCCACTTCAGCCACTAAAGTAGTTTTCTCAAAGAGAAGCCTGGATTTCAGTCAGAAGATGAATACCACAAGCTTTCATTTTAAATTTTACATCTTTACATACACTTTCTAGAAAAAAAATTCATTGAAGGATTGCTCAGTACAGTTCCCATTAAGTGGAATTTATTGTCTTAGGAAAGTTTCATGAGGTACAGACTTCTTTTTTTTTTTTTTTATACTGAGGACATACACATTAGTTCTAATGGAGAGCTTCAAATTCCTTTTCCAGAAAAGCAGATATGGATAAAATATGGAACTCCAGGTAAGCACATTAGCTGTATCAGCAACACAACAAACCATATTCAGCAAACAAATATGTTTTGCAGTAATCCTATGGAAAGAAACAGAGCAGTCCATGCCTTTCTTAATTATTTCTTACCGAGTCTCACATTTGCACAAGGCATTACTTCATTTGTCACCAACACTTCTAAGATTCCTGTTAAGACTAGATGTTGAAATACATTTACATAGCCACACACCCCAACTATTAAAAAAATATCAATTTTAAGTAGATTACATGTTAGGTAAGAAAATACAGTAAAGTCAAAATAAATGCACATTAGCTACCAGTACTGTTCATGATCTCCAATTCATCTGGTTCCAAATAAGCCAAACATGCAGTATTTTATTTTTGCAAATAAATTATCTATTAATACGGAAATTACATTTCAGATGCAAATATACCACTTATTTCGTAGAGAAAACAATATATTTAAATCTGATTCTTCCCATCAGTAAATGTTTTATTTAAAGTCAATGCATCACAGTTATTTTGGAGAATTTCATATACATTTTTATAAAACTTCACAATATCAGTCCATTATAAGCATAAAATGAAGACTTTTTATAATCACACAGCAATTCATTACTCACATTTCAAGAAACAATGCGCTTAATTCATAGACTTCCACTATGAGCCCAAATCGACATTTCTCAACAGACTGCACCCAGACTTACATTAAGCTATTTTCTGATGGAAAACATGCACCTCAGCTCTCTTAAATTAACCATCCTTTGATCCCATTCATGTCCTTACTGGGGAGGGAATGAAGGAGAGGACAGAAAAGGAATACTAGAGCCCTAATGCTACAAAGACATATACAGCTACTATGCACTTGAACTTGCAGATGCCATTTTCTCACGCAACCTAAGAATCCCTAAAAGCAAAACATATGATCAGATTTTTGCAGACTACAGCTACTATGTAAAATCTGATTCTTCAGATTTCCTATTTTTGCCTGTGTTCTGTTCCAAGAGAAGCAGTATGAATGGCATATAAAAAGCATTCTAATTCTGGATAATTAAATACTGGAGAATAAAGCCATAATATACAGAGTTCATTTACCAAGACAAAAACAAATGCTGAGATACTGTAATGCAACAGGATGTGAAACATACTAGAAACTGATTAATACTTTGTAAGTATCCCGAAAGTGACTAGGTAGGAAATACAGCAGAACTGGGAACAATGAGGAATGTGCAAGCATTGACTACTTCTGCTGCTTAGTCAAGGTGTTTCGTTGTGAGATTCTGTGCAACTTAGAAAGGATGTCTTCAAGAATAAGGCCTCAATTCAATGGTCATTTAAAAACTCCCCAATATAACAGGGCAAAGTGTTGTGTAAGAATGTCCTTGAAAATCTGACAACTGTAAACTGGACATAATTCTTAAGAGAAAAAAATCCACATCCTGTAACAAAACTAGCTCCAACTGTGGGAGCCTCTGTTTTTAAAATCCTTGAAGCTTAAGCAAAACAAGGACAAAAATTCAAACCAATTTAACGTCTTTGTGTCATTTAAGTGACTACTAGGCTAGGAAATGCTGAGTAAACAGAGGTAAGCAAAGCAATTCAGGAACAGTTTATACATCAATTAGTTTGTAAGCTAAGGGTTGTTTCCCTGCTACTACTTTGCAATGTAATTCATCAAACTGAAGAAACTCCCTTTGGCAACAAGGACTACTGGTGGTGTGATTAATAGTACCAGCATCTTTGGAATACCCTGACAGTCTTTTAATACAACATGTTTAAGAGGATATCTAATTGTGCATCTGACAAATATGCTATTATTTAACATCCGTTAACTTTAGGAATGCATTTCTTATTCAATTTTACAATAATTTAGGTGCTTTTTCCAAGACACTGGCCATTAGCCATTTTATTATTTACTTCAACATATTCCCAAAGATAATACCATCTGAATTTACATCCCTCCACACTTGTATGTTCTTTCATCTGTAATAAGCCAGGTTTATAACATTACTTAGTAAGAGTTGCTTTTTCTTTTTTTTTGTTTTCCTTAGAAATTAATGACTGGACAGGAGAGATCCATAAATATCTGGACAATTATTTTCCTACAAAAGTTCTGATACCACATCAACTGCTACAGTAACAGCTTTACAAAAGTTACCAGGCAGGAAGTTATTTCCTGTTATACCTTTTCAATGTAAGGTATGCTTTTTTGTTTTTCCAAGTTTTATTTCCAAATATATGTTGATATAGTTTACAATTTCAGAGAAAGAAAGGTAAAAAGAACAGGATTTTCACCCGATATATTCCTTCTACTTACCCAAAAGGAATGTGAGCCATATCTTGCTATCAGCTTTCACAATGAAGGCCTTTCTGTCATCAACAAACACTGCCAAAAGAAAACAAATTACCTTAAGCATCAATTAAGAACAGCCTCTGTAAATCTGTTCGCACTTTGTATTAGTTTTCTTTAAAAATCTTGACTAGACTTCAAAAAGGCTGAAAGAAATTTCATACACTAAGTTAGTAACTACACATAAAAGCTTTGAACACCACAGATAGGCTATTAAGGTGACTACACAAGTAATCAGGCTTATAACTGCTGAAATAACCTTCACAAAGTAACTTGTCAGATGAGGATTTCTACGTAGATATGCAATTGACAAATTTTCTCAAACAGAAAGTCAGCCGTTTAAAGAACAAGCAACCCTCCATCCTTTCAGCAAAGCGTTATCAAGAAATAACACCAACACTCTGAGCAGAGCTAGTCAACACGATTAGAGCCTGTTTTAACAAGACTTAGTGACACAAACAGCACATTTTCCCATTTCTCCCCCAAAGCACACCGAAGTGGTAAAAACCCCTTTTCCCCCACCTCGCACCCCATTCTCCCCCACACCGGTGTGGCTGTGGGTCTTGTCAGTTTTTTGGGTTTTTTCCCCTAACCTTCTCCCGTTGTGACAGGCTGGAGGACGGCCACGGGGACGAGCGGGAGAACACAACCGGCCACC